ATGATGCACACGTCAATATCATCCTCATAATAAACTCATTAGGTGCATCATCATTCATCAAAATAATCATAAGAATCATGTCATCAAAAAATCATCAAACTCATGAAATGAACCTCATAAATCATCACAATTACTCATGGAATTCATCATACAGTCATGTATTAATCTCATAAAAATCACAATTGTACTCATGGGTACTCATCATACGGTCATGTATTAATCACATAGGAATTACAGTTGTACTCATAGTAATTCATCATACATTCATTTAATCACATAGGAATCACAGTTACACTCATGGTAATTCATCAGGAAAATGACAACATCAAAACATCAAGACATCATTGAACCAGAATATAATTCGTGAAACTCTGCTACGTTCGTTGGCAAGTTCGTCGTGCAAGTCTGGGGCGAATGTTCTTCGTGCAAACTCGCGATTACAGCAAAACGCTGTTATGTACCAGCACCAAAACCAACCCAAAAGTCCCTACGATTTCCTTCCCCAATGCCCTAAAAACATCCTTAAGTCATTCCTAAGGTATTACGGCGATAAAGGCACAAAATCTACGACTTATTAGGTCAATCCCGTAACATGTTTACGGTTTCGATTCCCATAAAATCCTTACAATTTTCCCACATTCATTAGAGTTCTCATAATCAATTACCCTATACGGTTAAAACCTCAACAATAGATTTTGGCCACGAAGGCCTAATTTCCTTTACTCCCAAATCAGCCTCAAACCTATCAGACCATCAGTTCAAATTCCTCAAACTCATTAAACTCACCAGAAAGGCAACAACAATTTAATACTCAAAATCCCTAACCCTTAAACTGGCTTTAAATACATTTAATCATATATTGAAAACAATGAAGGTAATACTCCCCCATACTTAAACAACCTTAAAAACAGATTTGGCCACGAAGGCCTAATTTCCTCAAACTCAAAAATCTCCTAAATCCTTAAATCGGCTTTAAATACTTTTAATCATATATTGAAAATAATGAAGGTAATACTCCCCACGCCTTAATTTCCGACTCTAACCATTTCTCCTTGATTCTTGGAAACCTCGGGAAGCTTTGCCTCAATCCTCTTCCTCAGAGCTCTGGCCTCTATTTCTTCCCTTTTCACGGTCTAACAAGAATGAATCCTAATTCTCTCAAAATTCCTTTTTGTTAAATCTAACTTTGGGCCTTTAAAATGGGATTTCCAATTTCACCCTCACTAACTCCTCCTCAAATGTTCATTTTGCCCTTAAATTAACTTATATTTATTTAAATTAATAATAATACCAAATAATATTCATATTATATACTATTATTTAAATAAATAACCCAAAATCTATAATTCTCAATACTTCATACCAACCACCGCAAATCACAAAAAATACGAGTATTCCTATTTAAATAAATTAAATAAATATTCTAATAAATTTGGGGTGTTACACTTGGAGTTTTCTCGGGCGAGACGAAACATATAAATATCACTTAAGAGGCACAACTGAAGTCTAGCCTAAGAGAATTAGTTTAATTCTTGTCTGAGGACTTTATAGAAGTCATGTCCCACCCGAGAGTTCCAACGCCTCGCCTAAGAGACTTGTAGTCTCATTAGCCAGACTCTATAACTTTTTTTCTTAGGGACTGATATTTCCTCAACTATTTAAGCTCCCCACCTAAGAGACTTAGAGTTTACTCAAGTGGGACCAAACATATAATTCTCTGCCAAGAGGCACAACTGAAGTCTAGCCTATGACTTTGTTTGAGAGTTTGGAGAGGATGAGAATGGTGGGTTTCGAAAAGAAATTATTTTAAAAAAATATATAGAGAAACATTTAACATTTTTTTAAAAATATATTGTTTAGAATGATAAAATAGTGTTTGTAACAAATATAGTTTTAGTTTTTGAAATACTATAACAACAAAAATTATATTTGAACAATTTGTCTAAGCTCTCAAAAACCCTCTTCCATTAAATTTTTTGAGTTCTCTCAAATTAGGGAGTTTTTGGTGTTATGAATAAAAACAAACTCTGCAAAACCCTCTCAACCAAAATCCTTCTATTATTTTCACTCAACCCTTCTTATTTTTCAAAGTCCTCCCCCTCTTTCCCCTATAAACTCCTAAATAAACTCTAAAAGACTTGGTTAGTCTTGTTTGAGGGCTTAATAGAAATCCCTCCCGAGAAGTCCAATGCCTCGTCTAAGGGACTTGTAGTCCCATTAGCCAGGCTCTATATAACTTCATATGAGGGATTGATATTTCTCATGATATTTAAACTCCCTGCCAAAAGAATCTTGGAGTTTCCTTGGGAGAGACCAAACATATAAATCTCGCCCAAGAGGCGTGACTGAAGTTTAGCCTAAGAGACTAAGGTAAGTTTTGTTTGAGAATTTGGTAGAAGTCCCGTCAGAGAGGTCTAACGAATCGCCTGAAGAACTTATAGCCTCATCATCTAGGCTCAACGTAACTTAGCTTGAGAACATAAAGCCTAGTCGGTCTGGTCCATCAAACATTTTACCAAGAAATTTAGGGCTTTAGGATACTCAAACGCTCTATGGTCTAAAAAACACTTCGCCCTTTATAAAAGACTTTAGTGCTTGAATGATTATGTAGTGTTATATTTGTAAAGGCCCTAACTAAAGGCGGGAGCTTGGCAACCCCTGGAAGAGGCGAAAACCATATGCCACCTTCTAGGAGGTATCACCTCGCCCTAAGTACGCTGCTCTCGCCCAGTCATGAAAAAATGTGTAAAAAGAAGTTTCTCGCTAAGAGAAAAATCATGATCAGTAGCTGGTCCACGTCTCCCTAGGAAATAAGGATTTAACCATCTACTATTAGCTGAGTGAGCGGTGATCCTTCCCAAGAAAACCTTAGGCCCAAGAGGCCTATAAAGAAACTCTCTTGGGGGACTAAGATTTCCCAAGCCATCTAAGCTCCCCGCCTGAGAGACTTGAAGTTTCCTTGAGCGGGACCAAACATATAAATCTTGCCAAAGAGGCACAATTGAAGTCTAGTCTAAGAGGCTTAGTTAAAGTTTTGTCCCGGGGCTTGATAGAAGTCTCGTCCGAGAGGTCCAACACCTCGTCTAAGAGACTTGTAGTCCCATCAGTGCTCTATATAAATTTTCCTGTGGGACGGAGATTTCCTAGGCTATCAAAGCTCTCCGCCTAAAAGACTTAGATTTTCCTCGGGCGGAACCAAACATATAAATCTTTCCCAAGATGCATAACTAAAGTCTAGCCTAAGATACTTAGCTTAAGTCTTGTTTGATGGCTTAATAGATGTCTTGCCCGAGAGGTCAAACACCTCATATGAGGAACTTGTAATCCCATCATCCAGACTCTATATAACTCCGCCTGAGGGAATGAGATTTCTCAGGATATCTAAACTCCCTGCCAGTGAGACTTGGAGTTTCCTTGGTTGGACCAAACATATAAATCTCGCCCAAGAGGCGTGACTGAAGTCTAGCTTAAGAGACTTAGTTTAAGTTGTTAAAGGCTTGGTAGAAGTCCAGCTCAAGAGGTCCAACGACCCACCTGAAGAATTTATAACCTCATTAACCAGGCTCAACGTAACTTAGTTTAAGATATTAAAGCTTAGTCGGTCTGGTTTGTCACACATATTACCAAGAAACATATAAACTTAGGGCTTCAGGATACTCAAACTCTCTATGGTCTAAAAAACACTTTGCCCTTTATAAGAAGTCCTCGTACTTTAGGGACTATGTAGTGTTATATTTGTAAAGCCCCCTAACTAAGGGCAGGAGTTTGGCAGCCCCAAGAGAGGCGACATATGGTGGTATAGTCTCGCCCCAAGTACCCTCCTCTCGCATAGTCATCGAAAAACGTGGAAAAAGACGTTTCTTAGTAAGGGATAAGCCAGAGTCAGTAGTCGGTCCATGTCTTCCTATAAAATAGGAATTCAATTCCCCACCATTGACTCAGTGGACTGTGATCCTTCCCAAAGAAACTCTAGATCTAAAGGACTCTATAAATACTTCTTCATTAACGGAAGGGACATCTGATAACATATACACAATACATAAAACAACACGTTTGTATATAGAGCTTCTCACCTCACGTGAACTGACCTCTCAAAAAACTATAAACATCGTAACACCATCATACAAGGCTTCTCGCCGCCATCGACAAGCCATAACCAACATATATTGTTATAAACCTAGTAAGACCTCTGAGTATCTCCAACCTTTGCAAAAATACCGTGCACACATATACTGTTTGACTAGTACATCAAATAATTCGCGTACAAATCTCATGCGTTTCACCTCACTCTCATATTAACTTGGTGTTAAAGTGTTAACTATCGTACCAAAAGCTTAAATTCACCATTATAATCAACATCCATGGTTCACTAATCGATTTTAGTTTCTACACAGAATATCTTCATTCTTGTAAAATAGAGAATATCAATTTGACAAAATAATCAAAAATGAATACAAAACAATTGTGATGATGCAAAGTAGTGTTTTTACAGAACCGTCACAAATGAAATTATCATCACATTAGTGTGGACAAAGAGGACTATAACTTATATAACTATAATTATGCACATCATTCAGGTCATGGCGGTTGATAAATTTGTATGAGTTAAGAATTGTTATATTTTTGAAATAAAATATGACTAATTAGTTCCAAGTTTACTAGAAACACCATATGATCCAAATGTAGCTCCAAAAATGATTTATATATCGGTGATTTTATAATACTACGGCATAAACCAGAAGCAAACAAACAAAATAACAGCTACCCAACTTTTGTCTTTTTCCTAATAATCCAAAACCGGAACCTCCATCCAGCAGGCCGTACCTTCCCCCTCTACGTCACTAACCATGCGCCAATAGAACAATTTCAACTATATATTTTTCTAATAAATATATAAAAGTATTATCCAAAAAACTAATTAAAATAATCTACTACAACTAGTTCTAGTTTATGTTATTTACAACTTGCACGTGTATACAACACAAAAAAAAAAAAAAAACTCACATCATAGAACAAGCATTTGGGTTTTCATCGCTAAACATTTGTGGAGGAGGATGATTTGGATGCAAATAGAATGGAGGTTGTTGAGGCTCTACCATATACCCTCCTTCACCTTGATTCCCATAACTATAATCATACCCTTGTTGATGATGATTCTGGTTCATATTCATATAATTGTAGTTATACCCATACCCTCCTTGATTTGCATAATTATAATTCTGCCCTTGTTGAACCTCCACCCTATTGCTACTACTACTCTGACCCGGTTCATATCCGTCGTACCAATACATAGGAGGTTGCTGCCCGTAACCGTAATGCTCCATTTTATTAACCTCCACTTTTGCTTTTCCACCGTCTTTCTTCTCACCACCACCACCTTCTTCTTTTTTCTCTTTTCCTCCATCTTTCTCTTTATTCTTCTTATTATCGTCGTCTTTCTTCGGTTGAATCACTTCCACGTCACGTTTCAGCTTCTCTGTTAGATATGGTACAATTTCCTTAGCGTCTATAGTTCCTTTTATCGTCACCAAGTCTTTTCCTCCATCAGTGTTCACTGATTCAACTCCTGCAACCACAATTTTATTTAATTAATCAACCATAAAATAATTAATTATTTATTTAATAATGATTTTTTTAATATATATTCTAGTGAATGTGATTTATTATTCGATTGATTAATTAAACTAAAAATGTAGGTCAAAATAGGTAATGGCTAGCTAACCTTTGATTTTGAGGATAATCTTTTCAATTTTTTGAATACATGCGTCACAATGTAATCTAATCTTCAAAACGACCGTGTTTTGAACCGACTGAAAAAAAATTAAATTGAAATGTAAAACCGTTAGTGAGATTGAACCGATTCAAACAAAATTCAAGCTTAGGAAAACGTGTTGGAAAAAGAAGAAAACAAAGTCAATTATGAATCAATCACGATGAAATTTGTTTACGTTTCGTCACCCTGCGACGTATTGAAAACGGCAACGAAATTTCTAACCTGTTTGGGCGGTTTTTCTTCAACCTTCTTTTCCTCCGGTTTCTTCTTCTCCTCCTCCTCCTCGTGTTTGTTCTTCGCCGGTGGCGGTTTATCGACGGCGGCGTCTTTTTTAGGCTGAGACAAAACAATCTCAACGTTCTTCTTAATTTTCTCCGCCAGTTTATCACGAACCTTGGTAGGATCGACTTTTCCAATAACCGTCAGTTTGTTACCGGCGGTATCGGCCTTAACATCTTCCACACCTGTATGATCATCATCAGATCGAAAAGGAAAATAGAAACTCAAAACATGAATTTAGTAGTAAATCATTGAATCGGTACCGTCGAAACGGAGAACAGCGCGTTTGATCTTCTTGACGCATCCATCACAATGTAAATCGAGTTTCAAAACGACAGCGGGGAGAGCGTCGTTTTTCTTTTGTATCTCATCTTTCTGACCCATTGTTGAGAGGAATGTAAAATAAGTGTGAAGCAAGGAATGAAGGCAAGGAAGGTATATATATAGAAGAAGAATAGGTGATGAGTCAAGAGAGTGAAGGTGGGTGGGTCACAGTCAATGAGGTGGATTATTGCAACATGATAAGGAAGAATATGCGATTATAGAAACTTAGAAAGAGGATTTGTATTTGAGAGGTTATTTTTGGAGATAACCGTTTCCTTTCTTAATTTTTGATGGGATTTGAGTTAACTTTGATGGACTATTTTACCCTTGGGGTGAATGACCTTTGAGCACGCGTAATGGAAAAGAGGAAATAGTATCCGTTGGGTTGACGTAGAATTTGAAAACTGCGGGAGTAAAAGGTGTCAGACCTAGACCTAGACCTCCTTTGGGTTTACCCAAGGGAAATAGAATGCAAATTGGCCACTACATTCTCATCAATTTGCCCACTACTCCTTTCCTATTTTTCTATCAAAACAACCCTCAACTAATATTTAATAATAATCTAAATATTGTCACGATCATTTAAATACTTATACTCCCTACACCCTTCTTTATTTTTATAAATAAAGTTTTGATATATTGATAAACAAGAAGATTAAAAAAAAAAAGACATTTTTAGTTTATTTTAAATAAAATCTTTCCTAATGTTCAGTCAAATAGTAAATTATAAGTGAGATTTAAATTAGAAAAAAAAAAAGCACAAGTGTTTCCTTTTTTAAGTTGATGTTGAAAGTCTTGATTATTTGGAATTCCGGTAAGGAAGACGAAGCTGTAGTCTTAGAGTTGTTACTCGTTAACAGAAGCTGAGATTGAATTTTGTGAATTATGTTCTTGCAATTTGGAATCACATTCTTGAATCTTTCCCACTTTTTACCTTCTCAAAGATTTCATAAAATAAAAATGATTGTCGCTTTCAAAAGAATAGAGCATTGCTTTGATCTATTTATGGTGCAAGCAGTCCACCAATCTTCAAGAGTTGAAGGAGGATTGAAATTTTTGTTGTTTTATAAAACCAAAACCATATTTCCTTGGCAAAGGGACAATCAAAGAAAAAATGTTGTGATGTTTCTTGTGCTTTTTTACACAAATTGTATCTAGTAACCATATAACAATCTCTAAGCTTCAATTGATCATCAATGGGGATCTTATCTAAAATAAGCCTCCATACAGTCATATATTTTGCAGGAGGGATATCTACATTCCAAATACTTTTGGTCCAAGACTGAGTAATAGAAAAGGCTTTGAAGTGATAAGCTTGCTTCAAGTTGAGAAAACCAGTATGAGAGTAGGACCGTATGACAATATCATTAAAAAAAACAAGTTTTCTAGAGATTTCTTCAGGAAATGTGACACGTGGAAGCATAAACTGCAGTGATTCCAATGGTGATGTTATCTTCAGCATAAGTAAAAGATACATGTTAGTATGAGGTTGAAGTTACTTAATGTTCAATGTTATTATTGCAAAGGTACTTGTAAGTTATGTGATTTTGAGATTGACAATAATTTTGATAAAACAAGTATCACAACAAGATGTTGAGCAAGATATCTTGACATGTTGGTCAAACATCATTGATGGCCAGCACGATGTCATGACATGATGTCATGACATGTTATACTAGAAAATTAGGGTTTTACTTATTTGGAAGATTTAGTTTTAAAGTGTGAGATTCTATTTGATTTTAGTTCAAACTCTGTCGCAATCCAAGGAAGGTTATTTTAGGAACACTGACTCTATACCAGAAGTGCATTTGTTTCATAAAAGGGGTTTGGAGACTTTTTAGGAAATATTATATTTTGTTTCTATTTTTGTGCAGAAGATTATGCAAAATATTTGCAGCTGCTGTTTTGGATCTGTTGCGCCCTAAGCCCGTGCTTACCAAAGGCTATTTAAAGAGGACAATGCTAAACCTAAAACACAAAAGAAAGAGATACGTTTGAGTTTATTGGAATTAGGATTTAGTTGTTCTTTGTTATTTATGATCCACTCTCATATCATTTTGACATAAGAGTTGGATTGTGTTCATTGTTATTTGTGAGTCATTCACGGATCACTTAGATGCTTGAAGTGGACTGAGTTTATTGAGTTGTAATTGTGAATTACTCATAAGCTTTTAAGCAAGAGTGGATTTTATTTATTGGAGTGTGTCTCCTTCTTTAGTTGTTATCTTGTTATCATCACTGTTGTGTGATTGAGGGGAAGTGAGATGGATCTCATGTCTAAGAGTGTCTTAGATAGGAATAACATGGGTAGTGATTAGGTGTGAAGTTTGTAAACCGAAAGTTGTTTAGAACTTCAAACTAATACTATTATAGTGGATTTCCTTCCTGACTTTGTAGCCCCTAGAAGTTGGTGACGTTGCACCGAACTGGGTTAATAATTAATTTGAGTTATTTACTTCCAGCCATTTAAATTAACTGCATAATTATTTGTGTTGTGTTTCTGTCTTGACCCTAGTGTCGTGACATCAGACTCGAAATTTGGTGTCTGATTACCAAAATTTCAATTGATATCAAAGCACACATCCTGCTATGTTTCTGAGTGAGATTCTGGGAAGATACTTTCTAGTACTATGGAAAAGGAAGGAGGAGGAAATGTTAACAGACCCCCCGTCTTAGATGACACCAACTATGACTATTGGAAGGCACGTATGATGGCTTTCCTAAAATCTATGCATAGCAAAACCTAGAAAGCTATCATTAAGGGTTTGGAACATCCCGTTGTTAAGCATAAATATGGGAAAGAGACTTTGAAGCCAGAAGAGGACTGGTCTAGGGAAGAAGATGAAACTTCTCTTGGAAACTCTAAAGCTTTGAATGCCTTATTCAATGGAGTTGACAAAAACATGTTTAAATTAATAAACACTTGTACTGTTGTTGTACCCTAAAATTTGCTCAACCTTTTCGTACTTGACTTACGTTTCTTTTCGCATTTTTGCATTTCTGCATTGCATATCATTCGTTCTTGAGACAGGGGATCAAGGTTTTCCCTGGCTCAGTTTTCATCTTAGTGCATGAACCTGAATAGCGAGCATCAGAGTCCCCGACATTTATTTGGCCTAGCGGTCGAGCGACCGATTTTATTATATTTTTGCAGGGTATTTTTAGCTCAGGAAGCAGCATTCAGGCTATCGCAAGCATTCTCATGGTTATAACATTCAAGAATAAATTTCAGAAGCAGAACAGAGCACAGAACGGCTGAAAACAGGCAGATTTCCTTCCAAAAAGCGCCAAATTCAAAATTTTGAAGGTGTTAATCGGTTAACACATTTGGTTAATTGATTAACCAAGTCAAAATTAGGGCAAATTGGGATTTTTTTTAAAGGTGTTAATCGATTAACACATATGGTTAATCAATTAACCAGTGCAATTTTTGCCTCTATACGTGAATTGTGAAGAAAAACCACTTTGGGGTCCAATTTTGATCATGTACAAATTTGATTTTCACCTTGGGAAGGATCTAGAACCTATTTGAAATTTGGTTAATTTCATTTTTTCTCCAAACTCCCATTCCTCACTCCATTCCAAATTTCACAAACCACATCCCAAACCTAAGTGATATTTAAGTGAATTACTCCAAACCAAAGGGGCTAAGCCTTATAATTTCCATTTTCATTTTCAAAATTGATCTCATTCTCTCTCAAATTCTCTCTCAATTTTCCATCTTCCAAAAACCTCACCAAAGCTCTTTTCCATTGAATTCTTTGATTCTTCCTTGGAATCAATGAATTCTTGAGCTCAAACCTCCATCCATCATCTTCATTGAGTTGATTTCTTCATCCAATTTTCGTGCAAAATTGGATCTGAACTTGGAAGTGTTTTTAGAAGTGATTATTTGGCTTAATTTGGCTTAATCTTGAAGGATCTTCATTGCTACTACAAGAATTGGTGTGGATCTTAAAGTATTCCAGACTTCTAGCATTGGATCTGTTCAATTACAGTTGAATCAACATTAACCGAAGCAATCCTCCGCTTCGAAGGTTGGAATTCTAGATCCATAGCATTTTTTAGCTTATTTGCATAATCATGTGAATTTTCATCTTTGATTGACTTTTGGTTAATTTGATCCATTTGATCTGTGATCTTGTTGTGTTAATCTGTTCCTATGCTGTTTGAATCATGACTTGCTGGTTTAATTTCATGATTAAGTGATTATGCGATCATTCGGTTGACCGGATAAGTGCTTATTTGCTGAACATGTTGTTATGTTGTTGTTTTTCTGCTGTTGGCACAATGTTAATCGGTTAACGCATATGGTTAACCGATTAACATGAACAAATTTCCAGATTTTTAGACATTTTTAAGTGGTTAATCGGTTAACGTCTGGTGTTAACCGATTAACATTGTGCCAGTGGGTCTGTTTTGCTGATTTTCTTGCTTGTTTGGGTACCGTTTCACATCGAATCATCGTAGTTTAATATGGTGCATTAGAAGTGAAATGTTTTGGGATATATATATATATATATATATATATATATATATATATATATATATATATATATATATATATATATATATATATATATATATATATATATATATATATATATATATATATATATCGCTGTTTTGGTTGTTTAATCAAGACTTTGTTGACTTGTGTGTTTTTTCCACTTGGATGCACACTTGTGTGTTGTTGTTCATAGTGATGATGCTTGCATTTGCATTTTCTCTTGTGTTTTGCATCTTTATTTCTTGCATTAATAAAGGTCAAGATGTGCTTGTGGAGGTATTTACCCCACACTTTTTCCTCCCTTTGCTTGTGTGTTGCATTGGATGTGTGCATCTCTTACTTGTGATTGAATTTATCTGGTGCTTTCTTGTGCTTTTTGCCATGATCCCCATAGGGTTCCTAGTCCCTCCGTTTAGGATAGGAGTAGGAGATACATTAGGTGTTCGATCCAAGCATGCTAACATTAGGGTAGATGTTTCCCCTCTTTAATCCAAACTTTAGGTCCACTTTGCATGACAACATTAGGACCAAGTTTCCCTTAGACCTTTCG